ATTTTGAAGTAAGTACGCAGTCTTTACAATAGTTGGAAAAAGGTACACATGATCTTTGTATTAGTTGGAAAAAATGATAATTTGGGCAAAAACAATCAAAATGTTAGCTCAGTTGATAATTTAACAATTACTTGACGTCTCTTTAAAAAAAAAAAGGAATAGAAAAACAATTACTTTATTTAAGGTTTTGATCATAATTTTACATGATTTCTCATGTTAATATTTCATTGAAATTATCTTCTTCTTTTTTTCCATTAATACAAATAATGTATCCTTATTTCAAAACAATCAAAATTCATAATCTCAATTTGAATTTGGTGAAAGTGTTTGTGCCTTTAAATTTGGGTATTCCTCTTTTTTCTTTTTTTTTTATTAAAAAGGAAAATTGGTCAAGCTACTTAAAGTATATAGAAAAGTATAAAAGTGTGTTTTACTGTTTAAAATGATTAAATTTTTAATCTCCCTAAGCTAGAGAGACAATTTTACCTTTAATGAATAAGACATTAGTGAGTTAGTCTCTAGTGATTACCTAAGGAAAATAATGTCTTTTTGAAGAGAAAATGTGCAGATAAGAACATCCTTTTTGTTTTTTTTTTTTCTATTTAAAAATATAAATTTTTTGAGTTTTTAGATCAAATGGTAAATTTTCATTTTTTTTCTCAAAAGGATATAAACTTTGTGTGTGTGTGTGTTTTTTTTTTCTTTCTATTTAAGGATTTACTTGATGGCAAAGATGATTAGGCAAATGATAATCTTAATCAAAATAGAACAAAATTTGTAATTCTATATTAAAAAAATAACAAAATTTGTATTCTTAAATAGAAAAAAAAGTAAAAGTTCACCACCTAACTTAGAGATTTAAAAAGCTTGCATCTTCAAATTAAAAAAAGAGGCAAAATTTGAATCTTTATCTAAACCTTTACTTTCTTTCAAACTTAAACTAGCTGAAATGAAAATAACACTCATTGAGAATATAATTAAATTAAGGATGGTTGTAGTTAATACAGCTTTTTTAACATTAATTGGTATTGGTGAAAATGGTAAAGCCAACATTAATTTCATTATTAATGGTTTGTGGCTTATTTTGATTAAATAGTGAATTAAATAAAATTTAACTTTTATTTTTTAATATAATTAATGTCGAAAAAGTGCCCTTAACTATTGGTGAAGCTAGAAATGTTTTTTAGGAACAAGAAGAAACCTTGACTAAGAAATGGGTTTGCGTATAAATTGGAAAGTCGATAAAAGAAAAAAAAATTATTATAAACAATATTTATTGGTGTTTAACAATAAATAATTAAATAGTGGTTGATGAAGCAATATAAATGGCATTAATTAATGGATAAAATGAACATATCATGAGTAAAAGAACACTACTGAAAAAACCAAAAGCAAAAGGTTATTAGTAAATAGTTTGTGAAAAGATGATATTGAATCATTTTTCATTCAATTAATCTTTATTTTTGTCATTTTTCCTATTATCTATATTTTTCTCATTGTCACTTAATAATATATTTGGTTTTGAAGAAATGAAAGAGAGAAGAGGGATAAGTTTTTTAATTAATCAAATTATAATATTTTCAAATATGCAATTTAATTGATCAAAAAATTTATCCCTTCCTTTCATTTTCTTCAAACTAAACATATATTAAAAACATATATTAAAAGTATTTTTCAATAATAAAAAATAGGTAAAAATGATAATAAAGTTATTTAAGATAAAAATAATAAAAACAAAATTGAAGTACCAAACTTTTAAATTTTCAAAAGCTTAAAGCCTTTAACTCTGTCAGTACCCTTAATCTGTTTTTTAAATGCACATATTAAAAAAAAAAAACCCTAAAATCAACTAGCCGCCTTAATTTTCATTATTTTTCTAGATTCTGTATGAGCTTGATGCCTTGATCAATGATGCTGTGCATGCAATGCAATCCAATGATAAATAAGATTAAGGTAATAAATAAGAATCAAGCATCGGGTCGATGCAGAATTAGGATATAAGTAACAAATTTCCTTTTAGTTTCTCTAAAGAATCAAACTTTGGTCAATCAATAAAGTTAAAGAGCAAATTTGCTTAGCTATCAAGCTACGACTCCATATAGCTATGAGTCAAATTAATACTTCTATAAAAAGAAAGAAGAAAATCAAAATATTTTATCATTAAAAATTATTAAAATATGCTCAATTACAGCCATAAAATATATGAAACATATTATTCTTGAAAAAAATACATGTGGGACATATTATGAATCTAGTTATATCTCATTTATTATATCACTGTTGTTAGATTTTTCTAATAGTTTTAATACCAAAATATAACAATTTTTCGTCTCCTCATTAATGAATTTAATTCCTAAGTTTCTTAAAAAATTCCAATCAGAAAATGATCGTGAGACTAGGGAAAGATGCTTTACATGGGGATGAGAAATGGCGGATAAAGTGATAAAGACTTTTAAAAAAAAAAAGGAAAAAGGACCAAAAAAAAAAAGGGGGCAAATCCAAGTAATTACGTGACTAGTAAACACCTAGTGTCTTTTTCCAGATTCCCACCATACAGGACCGGGTGGATTTCTCCTTAATGCTTTTTTATACATTAAGGGATTAGCTGCTAACATTATATAAATTTTAACATGTAGTATTTATGTCAAATTAAGATTTTTAAGTTAATAGTTATGTCAATGAATTAAATAGTTCAGTGAATTTTTTTATTCATTGAAAGTAAGAGATTTTAAGTTCGAGTCACATGATATGCAGGTAAGATGTGATAAGAGATAAAAAATGATTGCTTTTTATTGTGTAACCAGAATCAGAAAAAAAAAAAAAAAAAAAAAGACAATCCAATTCATGTTCTTTCAATGGTTGGGGTGTGCATTGTATGTACATTATGGTCACTCAATAAGAATGACATAATTATAATATTATATAATATTATGAAAACAATTCAAAATACAGAGAAGTTAGCATTTTTTGATTTGTATTGTTTATAATTGGAACTGGCATTGTTTTAG